TCTCTAAAAAATCAAAAAAAAATTTTTTTTTATTTCACAAGGTCTGTCCGAAAAAAATTTGCCCAAAAAATGTGTCCACAGATTTTTGTCCACAAAAAACTACTTTCAAATATTGGCTAAAAATAATCCAATTTTAAAATCCATTTCGAGCGGGAACATGCAAAACACATTAAGGTAGAACGGGACACTTTTATAATTTTTTAGAAACGCTCCGAAAAAAACTCAACAAAACTTAACAATTTAACGGTAACTTAGGGAATTACCATTTTTTCACCCATTCCTTCACTCTCTCAAAAAATAATAAAAAAAACCTCAATTTTAAAACAAATTCTTTCCCAAGTCTTAAATGCCTTTCCAATTCATTTTCATCTTCTTCCTCTTCCATTTTTCTTCTTCTTTCATCTTTCAATTTAGTAAAATCAGTTTCTTCTTCCTCCTCCTCTTCTTTTAAATCCATTTTTTCAAATTTTATTAATATTCTTTTCATTTCTTCTGAAAAAATAAAATCTTCATTAATCATATAAAAAAAGAATATTAAGGGCCCCTATAAAATTAGCTGAAAATTCCATTTTTTTCCTTTAAAAAAATTTTTTTTTCTTCATTCTTTAAGATAGAAATATTCTCTTTTTTAGAGACAAATCAGAAAAGTCGGTCGGAAATGGTAGGAAATAGGAACGGGCAAAAATATCGGAAATGGCTCTCAAAAATCGGAACTCGGAATTCCAACCCACCCCGGAGACCCCCTTTTGTTCTTTATATTAACCTAAATTTAAATTTAACCTCCTCCTCCTCCTTCACTTCTTTCCTTATTCCAACGCCTTTCTAACTTCAACAAACGTGAATCTTTTTGTAAATTTTCTTCTGGGCATAAAATACTTTGTTGATACAAAATTGAAGATTTTATTGTTGTTTTTGTTGTTCTTCCTCTTCTTTTTATTTTTTGAAAATTTCTTTTCTCTCCTCTATTTTCATCTTCAAAACCTTTCCATTTTAATGAACAAAAAAGACGTCCTTGAGTAAATGGTAATAAACCTCCTTGTCCACAACCTAAACTTCCTTTGTAACTGAAAAAAGAACAAATTTTTCTCTAGTTTAGTTCACTCCTTGTTAATTTAACCCTCAAGTACATATTAGATATCGGCCTAGGTTTTGACCAAGGCCTGGGTTTTTCTTGCACCCAGCGTCCAGGCCTTCCTGAATTTTTCCCGGGCCTGGGTATTTCCTGAATACAGGCTCGGCCAAGGTCAAAAAATCAAACCATGGAACAGGCCCAGGCTTTTCAAAAATAAGGCCCAAGCTTCTAGTAAATATATTTACGCAGTTTTTGTAAATATATCGTTTTCGACCCCAAAGGGACGCATTTACAAATGAGAGATTTCATATCAAAACTTATTTTTCACAAAAATTTCCAGAAAATTATAATTTAAAAAAAATTAGTATTCTTTGAAAAACTCAGAATTATTTTTTAAAAAATCAGAATAAATACCTTCCCCTAACAATAGTACTAGCAAATTGTATTCCAGTTTTAGACATCCATTTATTTTTAATAATTTCTTCATCTTCATCTTCCTCCACTTCCTCCCCTTCCAATATTTTAGGTAAAGGAATAAAAATTTCTGCTAATAATTGCCAATTTCCTCCTGAACCAAATTTTTCTTTTAATAAAATAGACAATTGTTTAGGCTTTTCAAAAACACGAAGTGAAATAATTTCTCCAAAAGGAACTGAAAATGATGGCCATTCTAATTTGTGTTCTTCTGAAGAACAAACCAATAAATTGTTGAAGAATATTTGAACCTGTGAAAGAAATTATTTCTGGTTTTTAAAAAATAATTCTGATCTTTAGGAAAATTCTGATTTCTGAGAACATTCTGATTTTCCAAAAAATTCTGATTTTTATACAAATCAGAATTTCCTAAAAAATCAGAATTTTTGGAAAATAAAAAAATTCTGATTTTTCAATAAAAATTCTGGATTTTAATAAATAATTCTGATTTTTCGGAAAATTCTGATTTCTGAGAAAATTCTGATTTGCAAGAAATCTGATTTTTCAGAAAATTCTGATCTACTCAAAAGACTGATTTTTTCAATAATTCTGATAACCTGATAACGACAATCAGAAACAGCTTGGCGCCTTTGCCTCTCTATTTCAGGAAGTTTTACTTGTTGTTGTTTTTCTTCATCCACCTCTTTTTCACTTAACACAAAAAGTGGAGAACGGAAAAAAATGCCCAATTGTGGAGGTAATTCGTCTTTTGAATCTCTTGAAAAGAAATAAAAAATAAATTCTGATTTTTTAAAATTCTGATATTTTCAGAAATTCTGGTTTTTAAAAATTCTGATTTTTTCAGAAATTCTGGTTTTTAAAAATTCTGATTTTTTCAGAAATTCTGGTTTTTAAAAATTCTGATTTTTTCAGAAATTCTGGTTTTTAAAAATTCTGTTTTTTTTTTCAGAATTTCTGCTTTAATAATTCTGATATCAAAAATCATAAAAAAAACTCACTGCTCAAAAACCTCCAAACTTCCTTTAATTCTTTCCATAGAAAAACGTCCTCTAGTTTGATCTGCACTTGCCCAAGCTCTTTCCAACGCCGCTCTTTTAAAAATTTATCAATTACAGGTATTTGTTTTAATTAAATTATTCCCTAGATATGAAGGAAAAATATAAAGTATAATCTGCGAATATATGGGAGGTCTGCATAACAAAGAGGGAAAAATACATGGCTGACACGAATGTTTTTTTCTCTTCTTTCTTATCTTTTCTCTCCTGTAGTTTTTTTCTTTTCTTTTGTAGTAGTTTCGTAATTTAAAAAATTGTTTTCTTAATTCTAATTTTCTATTCAGGTTTATTTCTGATTTTAGAAATTCTGATTTTATTTTTACAAATTCTGATTTGTTTTAATTAAATTCTGATTTGTTTTAATTATATTCTGATTTGTTTTAATTATATTCTGGTTCAACATTTTTGTTTTGTTTCAAGTTTATTTTTGCTTTTAAGGTTAGTTTAAAATTTTAGTTAGATTTTTTGAAAATTCATATTTCGAGTTTGGTGTGTCAGATCGAGAATCTGTGTGTCATAAATTTAGAGTTACAAATATAGTATAACTAAACAAAAAATTGGAAATTTTTTCTTTATTTTGACTTTTTTTTCTTTAGATGCGTGATAACGTGGTTATATGCCAGAAATGTCGAGAAGGAAAGCAGAGGAAAAAAGAATCAAATACAAAAAGGACTGCAAGTGCAAGAATGGCTTCATTAGATTCAAGAAAAAAACAAAAACAACTCTCCGCTTCCACCTCACAGCATGGATCGATTGCTCAGCAAACAATAGCTTCAAATGAAGGTAATTGAAAAATAGTTTCTGGAATTTTTTAAAAATTATTTCAAGGTCTTCCCCAACAAAATCCAGTTGCGTCTACTTCTATCCAACAACAACAACGTAAAGACCAAGAAGAAGAAATTGTAAATCAAGAAGAAGATTTAATGCAAGGATGTTCTCATTTTTATGATAATTTGGCTAGCAGAGAGATTACTCCAATAGGTAGATTAATTAATGGATGTTAACTAGGGATAGAAAAATGCTGAGTAGGGAAAAAGAAGGGAAAAAGTTTTGAGTTAAATCGAAATTTTATTAATTAAAAATTTTTAAGAAAAGAAAATTGATATATCAACACAAACAGACACACCTCCTTCATCTACCTCAATTGTGGAAAATAACTGTGTGGGCTATTGCCCTTTTTGCTTGACAAAGTTACACAGGAACAACAGAAGACATTTTTTTTCAAAAAACTGTAAACATTTAATGTTCTACAACAAAATTTCAAACTGGAGTAACGTTTTTGAAACAATTCAAAATATCAACATTGACACAACACCATTCATAAAAACTTTAACAAAAAAAAGAGGAAGGAGTTCAGTATATCTTATTCGGGATGGAATACAATTACAAAATTTAATTTACATTGGCGTCAGTAAAGACGTAAAAAGAAGATTCAGCGAGGGACATGAAGCTCGTAAACAATTTGAGTTGCTTGAAAATTTGGAAAAAGCAACCTTATTTGAACAAATAGAAAGTGACAAAGCTTTATTATTAGGTAGAGATCTTCAATATATTTTTTATTTTACTTTTTAGAATCTTTGTTAATACTCTCCGACAACAATACAAATTTAATCAATAGCCATCAAGAATACAACAATTTCCTCAGATTTGTACAATTCAAACCCTCTGGAATAACAGAACAAGTTTTTTAAATACAAACTAATTTTTTATTTTTATTCAAGGTCGATCGTCTACACAAATTAGCAGTCAGAGTTTTGTATGAAAAATGGAATATTTTAACTTGGTTGCCTTTTAATAAAAATTGATATTAATTTATTTTGTGTATATAGAAATAAAAAATATTTTTTTAATTGAGAGTTTGGGCAGGCTTTTGCTTAGTGTAAGAAAGTTAGTCAACAGCTATAGTCCGTTCAATGAAAGCAAAAATTATTAAAAAATAAAATTATACCTACAGCGTTCTAAAGTTGTTTGACGTTCAACAATTTGATTAAATAATAATTTAAGTTCCTCCTCTGTTCTAAATATTTTTTTAATTGAAAGTCTGGTCAGGTTTGAGAGGTAGGCTGGCATTGGAGGTGGCATTCTCCTCCTACGTGGGCAAGAAGTAAGCTACCCTCACCCATACCTTTATTAAACTATCACAATATTATACAAGAATAGGAGAAGGAGTAAAAGTTTGCCCAAAGTAGGTTCTGATTTTCCCAGAGATTCTAATTCTCTCTTAAAATTCAGATACTTAATGATTTCTTCATTTTCCTAAATATCACAACTTTTGACTAAAAATCTATCGTTGCTAAAAACGGCCTATTGAAGTGATGCTTTCACATTTTCTTCATAAATCTTTAACCCAGCCTAATAAAACGTTCACATTGTTAGCTTAACCTCCATACCTTATACTAGTTTTTCAAGCCGATTTTTGAGAAAAAAATAAAATAATGTTACCTTGTTGCCTCTTCAAGTTCCCCTTCCACTTCGTCTTTTTGTTCTCTCAACAGCAACCATTTTTTGATTAAATTCAAAACTTGTTGATGTACTTCTACCCAAGCATCATAAGCCGAAACTAATTCTCTTTCTGCTGATTCTGATTTTGTAAAAAGCCAATGATGATCAAACTCGAGATCCTTTAAGAATAGAAAAAAATTTTTTTCAATTATTTGATCCTCTAAAAGGTTAAGTATTCTAATCAAGTGTTGTTCCTCTCTTTTAACTTTATGCCAAGGGATGAAAAAGTTACTCATAATCCTCCTCCCCCTGTTCTCCCCGCCCTATTCCTGTCATATAGAAAATGAGAGGAATAGTTTGGTTAGTCTGTAAAAATGATGGGTAGTTTTGAAAAAAGTCAGATCGAGTTTCGAGACAGTTTCAAAAATCTTTTAGGCCAGATTTCGAGTAACCTACCCCTTCTTAATCTGTTTCGAGTAGGACGCTCTACCCATACATAATCTTAACAAACTAGAATACTTCAAAAAAACCTGTAAATCAATCCAAAGCCCTGTTGGTTGTTTATTAGCCCAAAGCCTATTTTCGCCCAATTTTAGCCATTCTTCACCTTTTACTGAATTTCTCCAAATAATTTTATTATTTAAATTTTGTTGGAGTAAATTATTTTTAAAAATTAATGATGCTGTAGTTTTTCCATCTTCCGTTAAATTTTGAATTTTGTCGTCCTTAAATTTAAAAAAAAAATATTTTATGTAAACGTCTTTCTTGAGAGAAGAAATGAAGGGGGGGGGGGGAATGATAAAAAAAATGTGTGAGGAATGTAAAATAATTGTAGGAATGAAAAAGTATTCGGAAATTTTAAAGAAGGAGAAAAGGAAGGATGAAAAGTTGTGTCCAACCAATGCTGGCCTCTCAGGCCAGTCAACTGCCAAAGGTAACTGAATAGCAGAGGTAGGTCGGAAAGTCAGAAATGTCGGAAATCGGAACTGTCGGAAATCGGAAATGGCTCAAAAGTCGGAACGCGGAAATCAAAATTTTTTGCGGAAATCGGAAGGAAAAAAACGCCGGAAGTCGAAAATATGAATTACGACCCACCTCTGCTGAATAGGTAGTGATGAACCAAAGTAGGATGAAACGAGATGGAAAAGAGATTCGGTTCTCTACTCGGATTTAAGAAACTTTTTGTTTTCATAAAGACTGTTAGTCAACGAAGAAGCAAAATCCAAGAAAAAATTCCCCCGAAAAAATCTTACTTCTAAAATTATTTTTTAAACAAAAACCTCTACTTTTCCACTTTCCAAATCATTTTTTAATGTTGTCAAAATTTTATTTTCATCACAACTTTTCCATTTTATTAAATGTTTAAATTTAACAACATTTTTAAAAGTTGTTGGAATTGCTGGGGTAAAAATTAATAGTTGTCGTTTATTTTGATAATCTTTTAATTTTGCAAATTCTGTTGAAGTAAATTCATCTTCTAATTGTTTTTCCCAATGGAGTTGGCTATTCACGTATTTGGTGCCAATCTGAAAAAAATTTATTTTAATAATAAGGGTTGGCCGTTTATGGGACACAAGCGACCTTTTCTTTTCTGTTCTCACGATTGGGGGATTCAAGAACCGTTATTAGACGGGGATTTTGTAGAGGAAAGAAATAATCGAGAAGCATCATTTCCTCATTAAGGAGGAGAATATACTTGGGAAACACTGTATTTTCTATTCCATTCCGAATAGGGTTGCCGACCCGGCTCTATCCGAAAGATTGAATCGGGCTTCAATTTTTGGGCCCGAAAAAGACTCGGCCGGTAAAATGACTCGAACGTCGGCTTAATTCGAAAACGACAACCCTAATTCAAATATTAGGAAACTAATCAGGTGTGGACGTCAAAATACCAATGCTATTCCCCTATGGTTTCCAAACAAGTCTCGATTCCTAAATCCTTTGAAAAAATCTGTCCCGGGTTGGTGTTGATTAGAACACCCAGGAGAAAATTAAAAACGGAAAAATTAAAAACCTGAATGCTCTGCTCTATTTTTTTATCACTACTAGAAAGTTCTTCAAGGCGTTTTACTTTTTCCTCCTCTTCACCATTTTCTTCTGTTGTTGCTGCTGTAGGTACTGTTTCAATCCAGCCTTGAGGAGACTTTTGTTTCTTGACCAAAGCCATAAAGCTTGAAGATTTGGAGTTGTTTAATATACTAAAAATAAATTTTTAAACGAAAATAAAAGCTTTTTCTATTTATTTTTATTTGCAAAAAATAAGAGAGTGGACACTCATTTCAATAAATTACCATGGAAACCAAATCGAATTCATGGAAACCAAACTTTAAATATTCTTAATGGTTATAAGGACAGCTTTGGGTCTCCTTTCTCTTTTATTTCCTCCCTATCTTCACGAATGAGAAATCTGGCATTAAATGTGGTGAGGTCGACCGATTCCCCATGGAAACGACTATCTTAATACATTTTAATTTAGTTACAGGGAGACACAGAATTTATTTCCTTATTTTTCCCTTTTTATGCTCCTCTAAATAATTGCAAGTAAAAATGGTTAAAGGTTCCCCGAGGAGTTGCTCGATCTCCATAATAAAGACAGAATCGTCTTTAAGTAATTAATTCTAAAGGGAGGGTTTAATGGATTTAAAGGCCCCACGAGAAGCTATTTGGCCTCAACTCGTTTAAGACTGTCAAAAATTTGTTTCCAGTAAAGATAAGGAGGAAATTAAAAGAGTCGACAAAACTTCACGGATAACCATTAAGAAAGTCTCGTCGCAAAACATGCTTGAAATCCCTAACATAAGTTCAAATCCAGGTAAATCTGTAAAATAACAGTTCCAAGGACCTACTTACTCCACCATTTCCCCCATACTTTCAAAAAAGTAAACCTTATAGTAAAAGAAGAAACTCCGCCTTCACAGTAACAAATATTGAGAAGTTGTTGAAAAGTTGTTGAACATGTTTCCATAGGCAGCAAATATACAGAGAATAGGCAGCGAAAAGAGGCAATCAAGTTCAAAAAATGAAATGACGACTTGAATAGTGTCGCGTTATGACTAAAAAAAAATAAATAAAATAATCAAAAATTAAGATCAAAAATAAAATTTTATTAAAAAATAATCCTAGAAAAAATATTTTTCATCAAATGGACTCGAACCTTTGACCTTCTTGGGATGAAACATAAAGTCTTGCCACTTGACCAAAAAAATCGGGACACGCCCGACTTGCCGCGGGCCGACTTGTCGCGGCCGATTTGTCGCGACCGACTTGCCGCCGGCCGACTTGCCGCCAAGCTTTTTAATTAACACCCCCCTTCCACAAGGCCTCCGCGGAAAAAAGTTTTTGCCGCTGCGGAGGAAGCCGGGCATGTCGAGCGGAACGACGGCCGCCGCTTCGCTACGGTCGCCGCGAGCGAAGCGAGCACGACCGCAGCGAAGCACGGCCATCGTGTAGCGAAGACCATGCCCGGCCTACCCTCCGTAGCAGCACAAAAACAGTTTTTCCAGCGAAGATTCAGTTGGTCATAACTCTGTTTAGAATCATCCAATCGAGCTGATTTTGGTGTCATTGAGCTCAGCTCGACGAGCTCTTTCGAATGACATATAAATTGTCCAATTTTGAGTCTGGTACGGAAACTGTAGTTAGGGGTTTTTTAATTTTGTAAAATTTTTTTGTAAAATTTTTGTTTTATAATTCAGCATGGTCCCATTTGATGGTCGCTGGGACCATTCTAATTGATTATAAATCAGAATATTTAATTAAAAAGCTTGGCGGCAAGTCGGCCGGCGACAAGTCGGCCTCGCGGCAAGTCGGCCGGCGGCAAGTCGGTCGCGACAAGTCGGCCGCGGCAAGTCGGCCCGCGGCAAGTCGGGCTGTACCCAAAAAATCAAGGGCTCCATTAATTTGTATTTTTCTCTAAATGGGAGAAATAGCGTAGGGATAAACTGTCATTTATCAAAACATTATGCCAAACATTTAAATTTTGGAAAAATGAGCAGCGTAACCTTCCCGTCCTAGAAAAACGATAAAAACATTTTTAAAACCAGCCGGCTTATTTTTGCTATTTATCGTTAAAAAACCTTGCTAACCAGTTTCTCTGTTGACCACTCACTCCTTGTTTCTCCACCAGTTGCTCCAGTTCCATGCTGCCCAAACAAAATCTGTTCTTCAAGTAAAAACAAAAAAGTTTAGAAAAATGAAAAAGAACGAACAAGACAAAAACAATAGAAAAATAAGGAACAGGAAAGGGTAGGGAAGGCCGCGCTTTGCATTTTTGGCGTGCAATTTTATTTTTTTTTCAATCTTTTGGAAACTTACAATTTACATATAGAGCAATGAGATCCACCACCAAGTCCACCATAAGTAGTCGAGTAGAGAGCCAGTACCTGAAAAAGAAAAAGGCTGTAGACTATTCTTTTTTAAAAAAACATAAGGGTAAACAAACTGAAGAAGCAAAGCCACCACCATTCGTAGAGCCACCAGCCATCACCTGAAACGAAAAGAGTTGAAACTTCTATTTTCTAAAAAAAAACATAAGTTTAAACAACCAGAAGAAGCATGCCACCAGCAACGGTACAAGAGCCATCACCTGAAATGAAAAAAAAACCTGAGAACAATTCTTTTTTAAAAAAACATAAGGTTAAACAAACTGAAGCATGGCCACCAACCAAAAGCAAGAAAGCCAGTAGACCACACCAGCACAAAACTAAAGAGGGAAGCCCTCCCGCCTCCCGAAAATTTTTAAAAAATTAAAACCGCACCACCACCAAAATGCATTTTCTTCCAATGTCCATGTTGAACACTCCAGAGAGTTGAGCACATCCTGAATTTCAAAAAAATTTCAAATCATAAAAATCAGAAAAAAATACTCAACAGCAATTGAAGCATCCACGGCTGTCCACCATGAGCAGCAGCCACAAGCACCTATCTTAAAAGAGGAAGCCCTCCCGCCTCCCAAATTTTTTTAAAAACAAAACCACACCAGAATCCATGTAGAGCACATCGGACGACACTGAATTAAAAAAAAAGTTCAAATAAAAAATTTCAGAAAAAAATACTCAACAGCAATTGAAGCCTCCACAAGCATGAGGAGCATGAAGAGCAAAGCATATTAAACAGGCCACCATGTTGAGAACAGAAGGCCAAGTAGAGCACCACAAACAGGCCATGTAGAGCACCATAACAGGCCACCATGTAGAGCAAGCACCACAGCTACAAAAAACAAAAAATTAAATTATATCCGAAAAACTTTTTAAAAATAATAAAAAACGGTTAAACTGCTCCCGTACTAGATGTAGAAGAGAGTCGGCGGAACTAGAAAGAAAAAAACAGTTAAATTTTGAAAAATAAAATTTCAATTTTTTAAAGTTTTTTTTAATTTTTTCGCCGCGCGCTGAGTGAAGGAAAGAGATAGGAACACGAAATGAGTAAAGAAACACATATAGAAACAAAAAAAACAAACAAAAACAACGAAAAACTACCTAGGTGCACCTTAGGCTCGAAGAAAATTTTAGACAAGAAAAAACAAGTTGGGACAAAGTTGCGAATAAACATTATGCCAAAGTTTGGCACAGAAAATAATAGTACTGTAGGCGTAAATTTAAATTTGGACGTTAGAGTATTATGCTCTTTTGAACTAGAGATCGGAAGGAAACAGGAAATTGTAGCGGAGGAAACCCGGTCGGGACCTGGAACTGGGAAAGCGGGAATTCCCGATCCCGGTTTCATCCCGGCATCTTCAAAAAAGACGGGACCGGGCCCCGTTCCGGTCTCTACTTTGAACGGAGTTTTTGGAGCATTTTCGTGTCTTTTCTTGAAGAGGCACAAAGTCTCTTAATTTCAAAAATTTGCCCCTTGATTTTGATTACTTTTTACAGTTAAATTGAATAATTATTCTCTTTTTTAGATGACATTTTCACGTCCTCTTCATTGGGCGTTTTAACTCTAAAAGTTCCTTAAGATGTGCGTCGTTCGGCTTTGATGTCTTCACTTATTCTTGGCTATCTCTTTTGCTTCTTATATTTTATTCAACTCATAATTTTCTACGTTTATTTCCTATTTTTTTAATTAAATTTTTATTTATTTTTATAAGATTTTTAGTTGTCAATGAATTTTAAAATGAAGATGAAAGACGTTCAAGCAAGCATATTGTTCTTGCCACTAAAGCTAGTTGGATGGAATTTGTTTTAAAGGTTTTTAGTTTTTTTAAGTTCTTAAATTGTGAGATTTTTCTTCTCCACTTGGGAGCCTGTAGATAGAAAAAATCCAAGACCAGTTTTAATCCGGCTAAAACAATGCCTGGACACTCGCTCTTATTTTTAGTAGAGACGAGATTTCGAACAAAAATCTCGTTTATTGTTGTCCCCAATCTATTAAGGTCTTTAGTAGACAAGGCTTTCAAGTAGGGTTGTTGGTTCTCGACCGAACTGTAGAACCTTGGATTTTTCAGATCGGTTCTTCGGCTCGTTTAGATTATTCGAAGAATTTCCAGGAATCGACAGCACTACTTTCAAGCTTTTCGGATATTTTTTATTCTTACATATCAGATTATTTTGGAGTCATTTTCTCATAATTATTCCTTCAATTTTATCTTAAACCCCTACTTTAAGCATCAAAATAGGATAAAAAGTTTTCTACAAATTTTTTTAAATGTTTATTTTCCTAGTTTAGTCAAAATTTATTTGGTTAATTTCAGGCTTCTGTGGCAGCGCTTGAACGTCTTCATCTTCAGGTTTTCCTAGAAAATAACCTTATTGGGTTCGGGCTAAAATTGTTATAACCCCGTGGCTTTCCCATCCCTGATTTTCTCTATATGGGCAAGTCTGAACTCTAGAAATCTTTAAATAAGATTATTTGGAGAATCATTCTAGAATGAAAGATGTGGTGAGACAATGCCATTTTTATTATAGTTATCAGACTAAAAAAGCGAAAATTTTTTTTGTGATTTTTGTTAGGTTCTATTTTTTGTGGACCGAATTTTAAGGAAGAGCAAAACTTTTTCCAATTCCTCCTATTTAAAGAACCATACAAATTTGAATTTAGGTTTAAAAATTTTTTCATTCCTCTGATTATTTTTTCCAATTTTTTTCAGTTCATTTCAGTTTATCTCAAAAATTTATCCGCACGAGTTTGTCCGCAAAAATTTGTCCGCAAAATTAGAATTTACAAAAAAAAATTTTATTTTTCTTCAATTTTACTCTCAAAACAACAATATACATAAAAATGACCTTGCCTCACCACAGGTTCTATTAAATTCTTTCCAAATATTTTGGCATCAATTTCTCTTTGCATTCCTTCATCTACCCAAAAATTTTTAATTCATTTATTCATCCAATTTTATTTATCGTTCTTGACCTAAATTTTTTTTCTTTTTCCGTCGGAATCCGTCTCTCCTTTTCATTTCCCCGTTCATTTTCATATATTTTATTTTCAACGAAAATTATATAAAATCTCCAACATAGTGCAACTAATAAATATTTATAATTTAATTAGGTAATCCAAAAGATCGAAAATACAATAGTCGTCTGTCGTATTTTGTATTTTCCTTGTATTTTCCGGGAAAAAGTTTATTTTGTATTTTTCTATGTTTTCCTGTGTTTTCTCTTTCTGATTCTGGTTATATAAAATAAAACATTAAATTCTGATATTTATATTTTGTATTTTCCTTGTATTTTCCGGAAACTTTAATTTTCTCCTCCTATTTATGTAAAAATTCTGATTTTTCCGGAAAAAGTTTATTTTGTATTTTTCTGTGTTTTCTCTTTCTGATTCTGGTTTTATAATAATACACAGATTAAATTCTGATATTTATATTTTGTATTTTCCGGAAACTTATTAATTCTCTTTTCCGGAAAAAGTTTAATTTTTTTATTTCTTATTTGAGATTTCTGATTTTTCCGGAAAAACACAACCAGCCTACTTTTTATTTTATATTTCTGTTTTTTTCTTTTCTGATTCTGGTTTCTAACTCAAATTAAATTCTGGTATTTGTTATTTTGTATTTTCCGGAAAACTATTTTATTTCTCTTCCTCATTATTCTGATTTATATTAACAATTTAATAATTCTGGTTTTTCCGGAAAGTTTCAACCTTTGTGTTTTTCGGAAATTCTTTTTTTATAAAGCTTTACTCCAAAATTATTTTCGCTCCCCAATGTCCCCTTTTTCGACCAAAGTCCATTTATTTATATTTTTTTCTTATTTCGTTTTGCCCTTTCCTTTTTGGCCTCTCAAATCTCAACCATTCATCACAAAATTTTTTTAAAGTCATTTTGTTCCTCTGGGACCATTTTCTTCCCTTCATTTTTCCTTCATTTTTCCTTCCGTTTCTGACTGTGTTGTGTCATATATTTTATGCGCGCATCCTTTTCGATTTTCCTCTTCCCTTTTAGCGTCGCTTAAACATCTTTTCTAAGCCAATATTCATTTCTTCCTCCAATCTTTTTTATTAAAAACACATCCCCCACTGCGCAAATAAGCAGTAAAAATATTTTTATTTTTACTGAACACATTTTAAAATATATATTTTGGTTTGGGAGAGTGTAGTGTTAGTCTAGGTTTTACAGAGACTAAAAATCAAAAAAAAATTTTTGTTCTGTCTAGAATTAATTATTTTAATGTATTTGTGATTATTCACTGTTATATTATTTTTGAATATACTGTAGTATCAGTTTTCCGGAAAATATACAACTTTTCCGGAAATGCTAACGTTCTCTTTATTTTTGTGTTTTTCTGTGTTTTCCTAAAATACTAAATTTTCCGGAAATTCTGATGTTCTCTTTATTATTGTGTTTTTATGTGTTTTCCGGAAATTCTAATATTCTCTGTATTCTTGTGTTTTCTGTATTTTCTTAAAATACTGTCTCTTCCGGAAATTCTAGCGTTCTCTTTATTCTTGTATTTTTCTGTGTTTTCCTAAAATACTAAATTTTCCGGAAAACTTATAATTTCTTTCCTCATTCTGATATTTAATTTTAGAATTCTGGTCTCTCCGAAATGTTGCAAATTCTGTATTTTCCGGAAACTATAACTCTTACGAATATATTAATTTTTTTTCCAACATTTGTGTTTTCCGGAAAATAATATTCTTATAAAATGTATTTATTATTTAATGTTGATCTTTTGGGCTTTTTAATATGAACATTATATTTTAAAAATATAGGGAGAGGCTTTACAATTTTAAATCCTAATCAAGCAAATTGACACTCGGATTATCTAAAATTTTGTTTGAAAGCTTTTTTTTGTTGTTATGGATTCTCTATAATATTTTACACTTTTTTTTAAACTAGTGAAAATCCTAAAAATCCTATTTTTTATAAATCCTTTTGACAGTAGTTAATATTCTTGTTTTATCTAAAATTATTTTTTAAAATTTTTTTGAAAGGCAATCAAAAAATCATCCAACAAAATTTTAGTCATCTCTATAGTAATAACATTTTTCCGTAAAATATATTCCGGAAAAATATCAACTGAAAATGTAAAGCCTAAGTAT